GTCCGTACGTGCTAGGGGACTATAAGCATTTGTAGCACAACCTTTGAAAGTCCGTACGTGCTAGGGGACTATAAGCATTTGTAGCACAACCTTTGAAAGTTCGTACGTGCTAGGGGACTATAAGCATTTGTAGCACAAGTCCTCACGTGCTAGAGGACTCTAAGCTTTTGTAGCACCTTTGTTAATGTCATCCCTTGAAACTTGAAAGCCTTGAAAGACTTCGATTGACGAAGCTTAAAAGACTTGTTAGATGAACTTGTTTTGTCTTTGATTTTGTGCAAGATATAATATGTATCGCTTGATAAAGATCTCGGATATTATTCATGCAAACCCTTTATTACTTGTACCATTCACTGAGTATCCAAGCTCACCCTCTCTATATATATGTAGGTGATGAGCAGGACGGCAGTGAAGCCTAGATGCGCTTTGCAACTTGTTTTGGATTCACATTTTGTAGCATCTTGAAGATCATGCTTCTTAGCTTGTAATTTATTGTGTTTTGTATATGATGACTTGAGAAGCCTTTTGGTCAAGATGTATTTTGTATTTCATTTTATTGTATCCAAGTTGTAAGACCTTGACAAGATGCATGACATTTCATTCGATCTATGCACAGTTCTTATGGACTAGTAGATTTAAATTTATTGCTTCCGCACATGTTAACCCTATATGTACACTCTGATTGTGTGTGAAACCTTGTAAGTTGGCCTTTGGTAATCTCGGATTACTGGCCATCATGGCAACCATTCTACTAGGGGCGGAATGGGGTCGTGACAGTTGATTAACCGGTGTAGCCAGTTGCCTATTTTCCACATGTAAACAATTGAATGGTTCAAATCAAATTTAAGTAATCCAAGGGTTTAGAATGAAGGTGCAAAGCTCCCATGTATATTTTGCCGGAAATTGGAAAGTAACTTACTATGTTGCCATAGGTTATAAACAAAATTTAACAATCTTATATTTTCCAACATTATCATTGATCACGCCAAACAAACAAGGAAAAAAAAATTCAAAATTTTCCCTTTCTCACACTTTCCACTACTTCAATCCTAAAGTTTCACACTAATATTTCATGGTTGCTAGGAAAGCCTCCACGCTTAGAGGGAAGGCACTTCGAAAAAATTAGCATCAATACACTTTGAAAAAAGTATGCGGAGGAAAGTCATTTTATTAAACATAAGCTTCATGTCGACTACTTTGTAGCTAAAATTAAAATCATATAATTCAATAATTTTTAGCTTTTCACACTTTTTTGTTGGTTGGAGTCTGTTCCCCATTATCTTGTCAATTGCTCATGCTTAAACAAGGATACAAGTGAAGTTCAAGCACTCTTTGGTTTGCATTTTTGGAAGTATTTCTATTATATGTGAACTACATTCACTTACATATATATATATTTTTAAAAACCAATCAAACAAATGATTTATTTGAGATGGCTATTTAATTCAACTAAAACAAGAAGCACTAAACATTACCAAAAACACTTGGAATAACTATTTGCCCTAGCTTACAAATTGGGAGGTCCCAACCACAAGTTATAATTGCTTCATGTGAATATCACTAAATATATTTTGGGATAAATCTTCGGAGAACATGTTAAGTCAATCACAAGTTTTCAACATCTAAATGCAATGAAAATATAGTTCCAAAATATATTTGTTTAAAACTAGGCATTTTTACAAACATCTTAAATGCAATCAATATTCAAATAACACAATTAGACCTATAAAAATTTCTCAAGAAATATTTTGCAACAACTCAAGAACAAGACATGGAAGCAACAATATGGTTACAAAATACTATATTAATTAATGTAAGAATGGATTATTTCATTACGAATGTCAACCGCGATATATAAATAGCAAAATAGAACAAAATCCTTACCAATCCTTGCTTTAGTACAAATTTAGAATCAGTGTGAGTCAAGAGAGATTGGAATAGAAATTCATATAGAACACTAGAGACAGCAAATAGGGTAAAAATCAGAGAGTATAGTTTTAGAAGAGGGAGGATTTCAAAAATATCCACAGAGAGTAAAAAATTGGGAAGAAGAGAGTTTTAGAAGAGGGTTTAGGGTTTTAGAAATAATCAGAGGGAGGCATGCCTTGTTGATTGCTCTTCCAAAAAAAAAAAATTTGTTTTAAATCGAACAACCACCTAGAACCTCCAATCAGTCGAACCACAGAAAGAGAGACGAATGAGCGCAGTAAAGAGAGAGAGAGAGAGAGAGAGAGAGAGAGAGAGAGAGAGAGGAGTAAGGGAAGAGATCACTCAAGGAAGGGAGTAGCAGAAGGAAAGGGAGAAACGATGAAGAAGAGAGATGGTCAACCGGTTGCTCTAGTGTCCAATTTTTCAAAATTAAAGAATTCAATGTTTAGGATGTATTTGTGTAATCCAATGGCCAATAATGAAGTTGTGCAAACTCTTAAGGAGTTGCACACTGTAACAGCTCCCTATAAATTATAGTGGAATTTGGTGATAGACCTTTCAGTGTCTAACTTGTCCTTCAAAAGGGCAAGAATTATATAGATCCTTTCAAAACAACCTAGTATTTTAAAATTTATTTCTTTTACTAAAATACCCTCATATATATATATATATATATGTGTGTGTGTGTGTGTGCGCGTGTGTGTATATCAACTTGTAATCATCCTCTCTCATCTCTATCTCTCTTCTCTCTGTCTCGCACTTATCACTATTCTCTTCATCGGTGCCATCGTTGTTCTTCATCAGCACGACCGCCGTTCACCATAGAACTCTTTCTCTCTCGTCTCATCACCGCCATCATTTGTTGCATCCACAACTTCAGATCTAAGATCATTCACAATTGTTGTCACCAGAAAATGACGATTTGCGATAGTTCGCAAACCTCAAATCTGAGATCCTTCACTCTCTCTCTGTCTTTAGTTTTGATGGTTCGTGCTCTCTCTCTCTCTCTCTCTCTCTCTCTCTTCTCATAATGCTCTATTCTTTCAATAGTAAAATTTTACTCTGGTTCATGACACAAAACTCTTCTGTAAAGCCATCATTTCAACTTGTTTCAAAGTAAAATTTTACTTTGAATTATAATAAACTTTATTCTGATTCAGAGTAAAATTTTACTATGTAATTATTTAAAAAAAAAGAAAGTAAAATTTGACTGTTATTAAACAGATCAGTATGTTGTTAACCAAATTAAAATTTTACTGTTACGAAAACAAAATACATATTAAATGAACGAACCATAGTCAAATTTTACTTTTAGAGAAAAAAAAAATCTTAATTTTTCATTGCAATATCTCGATTTCTCATTTTTCTGTCAAATCTAAGTTTTTTTTTTTATCTTTGATCTGAAGTTATTGATTTCAAATATGAATTCGTAGGTATCAAATCTAAGATTGTGGTGATTTAACGGTAAAAATGGCAGTTGCAGGCCGACAATTAGGATGAGCAACGTTGATAGACGATGAAGATGGTAGAGACAATAAACAACAATCGAGTTGGTGAAGAAAGCGAGAGAGAGAGAGACAGAGAGAGAGTGTGTGTATGTGCACGCGGGCTGTAAAAGAAATAGAAGAGAATATAATGATCAAATAAAATATTTAAATAACAAATTGTCCTTTATACAAAATTTTATAATTATAAAGAGATTTTGAAAGTACTAAATTTTTTTTGTCTTTCTAGCAAGGAAAGGAAGCTATAGCACCAAATTTCCCATAAATTATATATATATTTTTTCACCTTAAAAACAAATATAAATATATTATGTCAGTATTTAATTCATTTCCTTTACAGCTCATTGGTTCCCTCTTCCGCAATCGCTTCCCTCTTGAAAATGCAATACGATGGCAGGACTAAATTCTAATCCTCTAATATAGAAATATATTATGGTGAATTCCAAATTGTGTATCTTTATTGTTTGTTGGTTTTGCTTAATATATTCATATTCCTCTAAAAAGAAATTTAATCAAAAAAATTTCAACCATAATCAAAATAATAATAATAATAACAAATTATAACCAATACTATGATAAATTAAGATTAAATCATAACAAATATCACAAAAGTCACAACTGATACACCAAAAGTTTGTATTATAAAAATTCCATCATTGGAGCTCGTTTTCCTTGTTCACTGTCATTCTAAGTTTCTCATTTCATTTTTTCATAATAAAACTAATGAAAAATAAAATAATGGTAAGGTTCAAAAACAAACTCATTTTCATTTTCTTTTAAAATTGATTTTTGACAACTCAGCATACTAGCAGTTCTATAAAAAGTCTTCTTCTTTTTCCGTTCCTATTTCAATTTGTTTTTATTTTTTTTTTAAAAAAAGAGATTTAATCAAATCTCTCTCATAATAAAATTTTAACGCATTAAAGACCAGCATAAAAAATCTTCCTTGAAAAATCAAACACAACACTATTACTAAAATATTAAATTTTAAAATAATATAATATAATATTTAATTTAGATGTCAATTTTTAATAAAATTAATATTTTAAAAATTTTCTCATCAAGATCTATTAAAGATCCATGCTAATTATGAAATTTTTATTATAAAAAAATATTTCCGTCAAAATTGATAAAAGCAGTAACATACTACTCTATTTAACAGTAAGATGTTACTGTCTCATAATAACATGTTATTCTAATTCACAAAAATATGTTACTATACAATATTGTCCAAGAAAATATATATATATATATATATATATTACTTTATCCTTATTCAATTATGTATTTTCTCCTTGGAGAGTTTATGAAACAAAATAAGTTGAGTTACCCTTTTCACCAAACAAAGGTCCACTGAAGGAGTTTTAACTAAATTTTCCTTAAAAAAAAAAAAGAGGAGGTTTTTACCCTCAACAACAGCCCAGGGAAAAAAATTCAAATTGCAAAAACAATAATAGTTGTTTCCACCATCTCCTTGTGAAATGATCGAATTGGCATCAGGGAAATTCACGCAACAACGATCACAAAGCACCGGAAAAAGAAAGGGGGGGAAAAGAAAAAAGGTTATATTATCTAGTTATGCAATCTCATTTGTATTTTGAAATTATCCTTGCAAAAATCAATCTAAAACAAAGGATAAGGATGTTCACAGGAAACCAGGTTACACAAGATAATGCCCCCGACCTTGTAAAACAATGCACAACCTTAAAAAAGCGGTAGACTTGCTGGGAATCGGACATGCATCCATTGCCGCTCATATGACACCAAATGACCCCATCCAATCTGATCAAGCAACGACAGCTTCAATTCATATAGCTTCTTCTTCGGAGCCTCACCATCCGCTTGAATCATGTCATTTAATGCCTAACAAATATAACAATCAATCAGTTATATTCTTTCTTTATTTTTCTTTCTTTTTTTGATAAGTTCAGCAGACTCGAACTTAGGTCTCTTCATTGGAGAATTGCAGCCTAGACCACTGGGATGTTCCTTGGGGTCTAAAAGAAATTGAGTGCCTATGTGCCTCTGCCCTAGATAATAACAACCACCAATATATCTTCCGTTTTCTAACAGAAGCAAATCATTTTTACAACGGGGGCAAAAATAAAAGTAAAAATAAAAATAAAAACACGGACACTAGAAACAATCTTGAACCAAAATTTGAGGGAAGGATAACATGTTTGGAAAGTTTATGAGCAAAGACAGCTTGTTTGATGTTTGTACTAAACAAAAACACGACTTCTTAAATGAATTTACCTAACAAATTCTAAGACTAAAACAGGCCATGGACAACATATCCGACTTATCAGAAGTCAAGAATGTCAGAGATAAACCAAATGAATCACAAAATGAAGTCCTCTATATCTTCAAAATGCCTAATTAATCCAAAGAAGTTAGTTCACTGAACCAATCTCATCTTATTCGACACATAAAAACAAACAAATAAAAATTGAAAGAAAAAAAGTGAAGAAAAAAGCGAAGGCCTGATATTCCCACACCTCTACCGGCCTATTGAGTACAAGTACAAAAGATGATTAATTGGCAAAAGCATAATTAACGGAATACCTTAAGCGCAGTTCCAAGCCTTCCACAACGTCGCTCATGTATCACTAATAGAGTGGCATACTTGGAGGATTTCACATCCACCCATTTCTTTAGTTCTTTGAAGTTTTCTTCAAACAAATCTGGCAGGGCATTGGACTCTGGAATAGATTTATCATTAGTCCTATCCAGCACATTTGCACCTTCAGTTGAAGCCAAGGCTGATGCCTCTTCACCCTGCTATGATCATAACACAAATAAATTTATCATCACTGACGACAAGGTAACCACGATAAAATCCATGACTATTTACTGCAGAACTGATTCAGATGATTGGCAAGTAAAAGAGGACAGAATCACAAGGCAGAAGAGCAAAGCATTTCATCTACACCTCTCGTATGGCAGAAAGGAAGCAATACGAGTACAATAAACATTTTAAGTCGTACTTGTTTGAGTTGTCTGTCAAAAGTGTCCCTGCACGTATGTAGCACACTAACATTGAGACAAGGCAAATCATAAAAAACTAGGACACCGAAGGCACAGCGATACATATCGTGGAGAGTGGATGGAGTGGTCTCTCTAGGAAGATAGCGGGCACTTGGACACATAAGAAATGCTGTTTAAGTATCCAAAACTATGAAATTTATTTTCAAATTAGGACACATCCAAGAAGTTTTGGGAATGTTTTTACGGGCGTTGAAGTGTATCCAACATCGACCAGCTCCTCCTTACAAGAGTCTATGCTACTTAGTCTTGCACACCGAGGCAATTCGTATCTTTGGATTATATTTAATACCTGAATAAAAACTGCTTTCGATCTATGCATATGCATCACCAATTTCTTTCTGTTTCCTTACAATCCATCTTACAGGACAAACAACTTGCATCAGACACCAGTCATACAGCTTAAACAGACTTGAAAATGAGGGTTAAAATGAACATGAATTTTTTTATTTTTTATTTTTTTAATATCAGCACAAGGAGCATGAAATTTAAACAAGATAAATGATCTCACAGCATCCAGCCCTGTCACAACCAGCCACTGTCCTAAATAGTAGGGACTCCTGGTCTTGGATTGGTTACCATCTGTCTTTAGGTCGGTGACATCTTTCCATTCATTTAGAGGCCCAATGGCTTCTAAAGACAAGGGTAGGGCCATAAAACCACCATTTTTTCTACGCAGAATTTAAAAAGCAAACACTAGACATTACACTACGAAATAAATCTTTACCTTCAAGGATTCAATCTCTGCCATAGCTAATCCTTTTTGGTAAAGAGCTTCCGCTAATTGGTCACGTGCCGTCTCCATCTTCTTCTTCACTTTCTATTAATAACAGAGAAAAAAGTAATATAAGCTTCCATTACTTTATAATATGAACCAGTCAGGCAAACAACAAAACAAACTCAGAGGGAGAACATCTGCAAGTGCCTCACTCCACAGCTAGATGTCAGTTCATTACATGTTTTAATTGGCAGCACTCAAAAGTTTGAAACCACAATTATAGAGAACTGAGATCTTGCCTTCCTTGTACCATACCATAGAAAAGAAGATACATGCCTCAGTAGTTCAGTTTCCTGAGGATTTTGAGTGAGAAGAAAAGACACTGGAAACATAGATACAAACCTCAGCCCCCTCATCTTCTGGATCACTTTTGAAAGAAAAGTACTTCGCTAATTCATCTGTGTCAACACTACCAATCACCTCATCTGCTGCATCTATAATCTGCAAGTAGCACTTTGTAAGAACAACCAAGTGGAATAGTAAATAATAATAACAAACATTATAATACTACTAATAAAAAATAGTAAAAAGATAGAACAAAATATTTTAATTTTTTGCAGGGATAATAACAGTACTATCATCAATTATATACATTGCAGATTTAGAATAAGCGTGCAAGCAATATAAGCAAATCATTTTTTTTGTTAAACGGTTCAATTTTCTATGAGGATGTGCTTGGATCTTGAATGTGTACGAATTTGTGGGGGGAAAAGAAGAGGGAGGGAAATCCCTACGAAAATCAAAGATTTCAAACACAGGCTAAAGGATACGTTATAATACAACAGACGCCCCCTAATTATTACTTTTCCTGTACAATCTGTTCATCATACCATTTTAGGTTAGGGTAGGGATAGGTGACAAGATCATGAAAAGATTTCAAATAACACCAGAGGGAAGAAGACCAAGCTTGGGTGATAACTGTACCTAAAGAGTTCTAGGAGAGAGAGCAGCAGTAAGAAAGATGATAGAGTCAGAAAAGATAGCAAGGGCAGTGAAACCTTTCCCTAGGAGAGAGTTATTAAGATTACCATTACATTCATGATGGTAAAGAAGACCTCCTGATGTATAGAAACGCAGCACAGAACAGGGCTTGCCAAGTGGCAGCCTCTGCTGATTCTGACAGTGACGGCCATTACAAGACCTAACCAAAGACTGGAGACATGGGTAATGGAGTACACTAAATGTGCTCCCAGGTACAGAGGATGTACAAAGCATAACTGCATCCCCTGAGGATAGGGAATCCCATGCACCAATGAGACGCAACTCTCTCTCTCTCACATACACACACACACACAGAGATTGGCCACCTCAAGGTCAAGGTGTGTGTCTTGAAAAGGGAATACACCATGGAAAACTCTTGGCTCTAACCACCAAGCCATATAAACCCAAAGAGCCCATGAATAGGTGATGCGTTCCGCATCAATAGGTCATGTCATGATTGAGTAGGTTAGGTCACGACCTATGTTACATGGGTAAGGATCTCAGGTGTACGATGTGTAGATGACATTCACCCATAAGCATATTTAATAATCAAACTCATATTATGCATAAAATGCTATACGACATCTTGTAAATACATCTTTACCTTAGAAAATAAAAGCAGCATATTAAAAAATATGCATATTTTGTTGTGTTCCCATGTTCTTGGACATGAGAATTAGATGCATCTGGCACTTGAGACACCTGCACTTGACACCTATACCCGAATCCATGTAGCATAGGACATAACATGACCTATTGTGAAAGTTCAAAGATAACTTTAATAGTAAATAATGAGCAGTTCATCACAACCTCTTCTGGATGGGACGAAAATTGTTAGAGGTCTATAAAATGCACAAATCGTAATGCTGGGCATCACAACCATACTGAAGAAACATCCAGCAGCCTTTGTAATCTGACACCTCCCTAACTGAGCAGTAGGTTGAATACCACAGGATCAGATGGTTCAAGTTCCCAACAGATGAAAATACTACTAAAAACAATTAATTCAAACCCTTCCTTTGTAGAAGTGAGTACATGAAAAATTAGAACATAAGATACAGTATTTGCATTAGAAATTACCTCTTCTAAATGGGGAATCTTATCTTCAACATTATTCTGTGATAGCAAACCTTCCAATATTTTAGCAAGCAAGGGAGTGTATTTTGGGTACTCGGACTGCCAACCAACAGATGATACGTGAAGCATTAGTGATTGAAACAGGCAGATGGAAGGCATACGAACCTGTTTTAGTAAATTATAGCTACCAGAGTTGAACACAGTTCAGAATTTGGAAAGCCAATCAAATCGTAAAATTATCCCAACATAAAGTTTGGTGAGTCAAATCAAACAAAATAAGCACAATTCTATTTCTTGTTTCTTTTTTTATTTTTTTATTTGTTCATTTTAGAAGTTGGGTGGGGGAAGGATTATTGGAGTTGGGTAAAATCTGATGAACATTGAGTCCAAAATCTAGGACGGATGGATAAGTTTTACAATATTTGCAAGAGGTTTATGCATTATCTGTACAAAATATCTCATAATATGAATTCATATCATAATTATATTTAAAAAATATAATAATAAGTTTTACCTTGAGAGAGCTGGACAACTTTTTCCATTCTAAGCACTCTTCAGCAGTGCCTTGTTTAAGGCTTGCAAGAACCCTTATCTTGGCATCCCGAACCTGATTCAAAAAATGAGTTATAGCATTGGCTCCGATATACTATAAACTTCAGTATCAAATGCTGGGAACAAACAAGAGCATAGATTAACAGACAGAAAGGACTCAACAAAGAAATCTGTTAATGTGTACTAACACTGGTACAGCAAGCAAGCACTGTAACTTGAACCCATGTCATTCTCTCCAAGGAAATCACAAGCATTTGCATTTTGAAAGGAAAAAATATCAAGGATTCAAATTTTAAATATGCTATAAATTTCATAGAAAAATAACAGATTGCATTTTTAAATCTACTATGATTTCTTCTAGATCACAATATAACTGTTGAAAGTTCCACTTCAAAGTATGCAGTATTTCACCTGATTTTCTATTTAGGGCTTAACACGTAAGACAATAGAAATATAGGATACCAATAGCAGGGTATTAACAAAAGGTATAGCTGACCAAGGTGGTTTACGTAAAACCTCTAGTGTTGTAATTGTTACATGGTCTTGGGAAAAACTCAATCCCAAAAGCTAGCCATTGATGTGAAGGTGCCCTCACGCTTATATGCTTAACATTAGTTTAGTACTCAGGCGAAGTTGGACTTCACTTCACACCCTCCCTCACTCGAAAGCACGCTCACTCGAAAGCACCTACAACATGCAAGCCAAGGACACACATTCTACCCATCCTTGAGTACTCCGGCTCTGATACCATGTTACACAGTCTTGAGTAGAACTCAACCCCAAAAACTAGTTATTGAGGTGAGGGTGCCCTCGCGCTTATATGCTTAACATTACTTTAGTATTCGAGCGATGTGGGAACAAGTGATTGAAGTCCTACTTAAGATTGTGATTGAAATATGCAACGCATTTACAGTTTCTGATTTTGACTTCTGACAGTGTTAAACTCGTACATGTTCATCTACTATCTCTGTGAAAACTAAACTACGACTAATTCCATGTGAGCAGTCATGATAGCATAAAAAAGTAAGTCCTCCAAATATGTGCTGATGCAACAAACAAAAACATCAGCTTCAGGTTGAGCTTTGTTGTACAAAATTAGAAACTAAACTAAAACATTGAGAAGAGAGAACAAGATTTGTGAATCCGCTTTCAGCAAATAAGTGAATTGGTTGAACATACATTTTTTTTGGGGGGGGTCAATTTTGGGACAACGTTAGGGAAGGAAATGAGGCATGCAAGACATTATTTTGCCACTGACAAATGTGATGTTTGTCACGGGGAACATACATGTGATGACCCCATTATGTGTTATAATTCTAGTCTTAATTATACTTGTGATTATGTGCTTAATATGATTTTTGGGTGTTAGTTGTGTGATTAAATAAGTTTTTGAATTTATATCTGTTCACCGTAGAGAAATCTATTCTACTACTGGTTATAATTTGAAATTGAGGATCGTAAAGGCGACATAAATCAAAATTGATTATACCATTGTGATTAGCATGATTTTTAAAGCCTATGGTGAAGTTTGATTAAAAATTGATTCAGATTAAAATAATTAGATTAAATTAAATAATTGAGCCTTGGTTAATTAGACTAATTCTTAGTTAATTAGCTTAAGCTAATCACCACTATATATATATAATTAGTGCTTAGGCTCAAAACATTGAGCTCACTTTCATTGCTTGGCTGAATTTATACACCATAGAGAGAGAAAAGTGAGAATTAGAGAGAGAGGGAGCTGTTCTTGAAGAATTGAACTCAAGCTTGGGAAATTCAAGAGCTAGATTCAAGAATTAACTAGAATTGAAGGAATTGAAGGCTCTAAGTAAGTGATTGAGCTCTAATTCATAAGTTTAAGTTCATAACAATGTGAATCCAAACATAACATATGACTAAGAACAAGAATTAAGTTGACAATGTTGAATTTGAAGTTAATAGATGCATGCATGTAAGAGTTTGCCATGATTTTTGCATATTTGAGCATAAAGTATGTTAATCATGTTAAATTGAGGGTCGATTGACACAAATTATCATGTATTGAAGTCTAATTTTAAGTCTTGAAGCTTACATATGCAAGATATAAAAACATGGGTGTTGCTTACATGTAGTTCAAAGTTTGAATTTAGTTGAATTCATGAAATTTTGAATCATGGGTTAAAATTAGCTTCAAATATATATAATTGAGAATGTTGTGCATATTTGTGTGAATCATGCATGAATTTGGACCCTTGAATGTGTGTTTGAAGCTCAAACAAATTCTGGAAATTCCTGAATTCGACTTCACCACTCGAGCGAAGAAGTTACCGCTCGAGCATAGAATGCAAACAACCAGTACTTTTGCAGATATTGAAGGTTGGCTCGAGCGACAAAAGTACCGCTCGAGCGACCACTCACATTTTTTAGCATTGGCTGAAGCGATCAAAATTGAGCTCGAGCGTAAAAATGAAGCATCCAATACTTTTGTAGACCAAGGGGTCGCTCAAGCAAAGTGTCCTATTTCAGGAAATTTTGAAAAGTTGTTTTATGTTCCAATTGATGTTCTCCTTCATTTTTTAGCATTCATAGGCATACGTTGAGCATTCCAAATGAATTAAAGAACACGAAAGAAGCCTGAGAAATTAAGCAAACTAAATAACAGATTAAATTATATTATGACCCAATGTGTTGTGAATTATGTAGGGTTAATTGCAAGGACAAATCAAGCATTTGAACACTGTGAGTAATATCTTAGTAAGGATATTTTTGTATATGTATTATTTTCTAAATGTTACCTATGTGGTAAGTTTATGAACTTATGAATATATACTATGAATGATTATTCTACCTATTTGATTCGTAATAGAATCTGTAAAGTAACTGATGTATGAATACAAAATGGGCCTAAAGCCATTTGGTATGTTTGATCAAAAATATGAAATGGGACTAAGGCCGTTTGGTATATTTGACAAGGATACGGATTGGACCTAAGGCCATTTGGAATGTTTAACAAGATAAGACTAAAGGTCATCTTATATATGAATTAGACTGAAGGTCATTTTGTATGATTGTTAAATGAACCAAAGGTCGTTTTGAATATTACTACGGATATGATCATGATCATGAATATGAATATGCAGATAAACATGAATATAAGAATGTTGGACCCGAGGTCGTTTGGTATTATGATATGAAGAAGCGGTGATCATTCGTATATGGATCCATTAGACCTGAAGTCAGTGTATGAATGAGTATTGGACCCAAGGTCGTTTTGTACAGATGGACCCAAGGTCGTTTTGCATACAATGGACTTGAGGTCGTTTTGTATATAGATATGATTTACTAGACCCGGGTCATTTGCTTTGATATTGATCTACAAGTATAGTTTATGGATTTTGATGTACTATGAATGAGAATAGTAGTTCAAATGTTTAAATTATAAGTATAATTTATTTATGTACGAATCTCATTCATTAGTCTCTTTACTCTGGTATTATTTACTGAGCTTTAACTGACTCCATTTTTATATGTATGTAAATGAGCAGCGGGCAAGGTTTTAAAAAGCGGCCGCAACCGTTACGTAACGCCGTTACGTAACGGTTTTGGCGTTTACCGCCACCCGTTACGGCCGCTTTTGCAGTGTGATTGAGATTCACAGGTGTGTCGGCCGTAGCGGCTGCCATAGCGGTCGTAACGGTGTCGTAACGGCCTATTACGCACCATTACGTAACGGTTTCAAATTGTTTCTTTCGAAAAAACACACAAAAGCTGAAAATAGGGGAAGAGGGATAGAGAGAAGAGGGAATATAAAGAGAGAAAATAGAAGAGCAAGAGATAGAGAGAGAGAAGAGGGAAGATAAAGAACATGTTATTGATTTGTTGAAACTGTAAGACCTATGCTATTCTATTCAGCTGCTATCACTAAACCATTTTGTTTGTGTGTGTCTATCTATATATTGTTTGAAAATAATAATAATAATAATAATAATAATAATAATAATAATGGTCATTATCTATTGAGTTTGGTTAAAATATGTATATATATATTTAGGCTCTTATTTATTCTCTTACTTTTGTCATTGTTTATCTTATATATAATAGTTAGTAATTGATTTTTTGTATAATATAAACTTATTAATTATTAAATAAAATGTAAAAAACTCAATTTATAATGATTTAAAAATATGAAATATATTGGATCATACTTAAAAATTTACAAAAATTGATCAATATTTATTTTTAACCCAATAAATATGATCATGGAAAAAAAATATGCCTATCGGCAAATTTTTTTCAAATTGTGCGAAAAATAAAAAAATTCATGGTTCCAATTACCGCAACCGTTACACTACGGCCTTTACACCCCGCAACCGCAACCGTAACCGCAACCACAACCGCGTCACCGCCACCGTTACGGCGACCGCAACCGCTTTTCAGAACCTTGGCAGCGGGATGTCTAGCCCCAGCCTTAGTGAGATTGTGAAGGTTACCGAGATTTTGGAGTCAATCAAGGTTGCCTCACGCACGACACTTTTGTTTTGATTTTCTTTTGCTTCCTTTCGATGGTCATGTAAGACTAGGCCTATATATAAACCTTGGTTTTTGGTTTGCTAGTTTCTAAATGGTACTGGACATGTATAATCTTTTATGTTCTATTGGGTGTGAGTTATTACATAAGTGAAAAGTTTTTGTTATACCATATATGCACAGCTCATTGGACAAAATCTATTATTCTGCTTCCGCTTCTGGCCCACTATTATTAAATATGACTTGATTTTAGTCTGAGATTGTAGGCAATCCCATGATTACTGGCTGTTTATGATCCTAACCTATAGGGGCGGGTTCGGAGTCGTGACAATACATTTCTTTTTTCTATTTGGTATTCTAAAAGGTAACTCAAACTATGCATCTCTTATTTAAACAAGTGAATTACTAGATAAATATACTCAGACAGCTAAGAAATGAAAAACCCAAAACTTAGCATGAAAGATCCTCCAAGTGCAGCTCTGAGAGGACAACAATCAACAAGAAGTAGACATCACACAATTTTTAGCCAGTGAAAACATAAAAGGCCATGTAGAAAACCAAGTAATCAACCACCCAATCAACAAGCAAATTACAACAGTTGAAACAGGAACTCTTCCAGTGTCTACACAACAACACAAGCACACATGTCCAGACGCAATTGCATGCACACAGACATTTGTATTACAATCAGGAAGGTTACTTTAGTTTTCATCAAATACCTCTTCTTCTAAGCGTTCAGACACACTTTTTGTGCAAGCCGTGTTACAACCTTTTCCCTTGTCTTCATCTAACTGTGAAAGAGATGTTGCAGAAATAATTTAAAGGAGTGCAAACTAAGAATGTACAGCACAAGAACAGACAACAGTCAGAGCAAGATAGGTCCTGAGGAATTAAGATAAACAAAAATTTCATGGACAATGACAACCCAGATACAAGGTGATAATCATTTGAGATATCAATCTTATAACCTTATTTGGTGGCACTTGATAAGATATTTGATAAGACACAGGGTTCTTTTGTGGATTTTTCCCCTCTTCTTGAATCCCAAATGAGAGTTTTCCATATGAGATTGCTCCAAGCAATACAGATCCTTCAGGAGAGTTCTGCAACAAATTAAGCACCATTAAACATGCAGTCCATCATAGGGGGAAAAAAGCTTCTAGAATTGCAATACCTTAGGGAGCTTGTCTTTCGTTGGTGGGCCCACATAAAATGCTTCTTTCACTCTTCAAAATAAAACATATAGAAATTAATATGAATTACATGAGAAGATTAACAAAAATAACTAATTATGAAGACAACTACATACCCAGGCACTAAAACAGAGGATTTAAAGCTACCATTACCCATCACTGGGCCATCTGGTTGCGAATAAAAGCTCAAGCGAATGATTTCCTGGATTAAAAAATAATCACAAGCATAAATGCCACGCTGATTTGCAAGAAAGATTTTCCAAATTAGATATTTTGAAACAATGAGCAGTATTTTATTAAAGATTGATACCACAATGTCTCTCGTGTTTGAACCACACATAGATTTGATATGACTTATAGAGTGCAAGCAATAAATAACCAAACCAAACCAAGCCTTAAGTCTTATCGAAAATATAAGACGAATTATATGCCAAGTCTAATTAAATTACCACCTAATTTATTTATTTATTTACCTCAGAGAACAATGGCTTAATGCTTCACAGATGCAATACACAAGCAACATTTTTTATCTCAGGATTGTATTCATAATCATACGTGGAACATGTCCCCTATGTCATTATATTTTCGGAAGGAAAAAGGACTAACATTAAGTAGTAGTGAATAGGGTGTAATTTGATGCATATTGTCACTAGATAATTTATGAGTAGGTTTTGAGAGGCTAAAGAGTGTACATATGTTTTTACAAAGGCTTTCATGTGCGGACGATACTATCTTTTTTTTCTTTAGGAGAGAAAAATAAGGTAGATAATCTATTATCGCTATTAAGGATTTTCGAACTAGTTCTGGACACGAGATTAATTTGCTTAAGAGTAGCATTGTCGGTCTAAATGTGCAGCAATCAATGGCGTAGCCAGGATTTGAGCTCAGTGGGGTTAGCTAACAAGTATCATCAATATTATTATTTCAAATTTAAGTCCTACACAACTTATTCCAAATCAACTTTTACATAATACATTGTAATTTTATATATTTTCAATCACATTGGAAGTAATTTAAAATTGTTAAATTACATATAAAACAAAAATTGGGACATAAATACTATTCTATGAAGCATGGACACTCCAAAATCGGTGTCGTGGCGGTGTCCGACATACAGATACACCGGGGACATGTACGGGACACACCAAATGGCGTGTCCCTTTAATTTTATGAATTTTTTGTAGGGAACACGGCGGGGACATGCATGGGACACGGAGCGTGTCCCTTTAATTTTATGGATTTTTTTGTTGGGAATACGGCGGGGACGTGTGTCCATATCGAGACATGGCATTGGGACACGGCGGGGCTCATTTTTAATTTTGTTATATTTATTTAGGGTCAAAGTGTAATATTTAAAAAGTTAAAAAAAAAAATGACGATGTAAAAGATGTACAGAAATCTTTCCTTGCTCTAATCGTAAGTGATGGATGAGAGTGAAGGAATAGAGTGAAAGGGAGAATCTATCGCCGACTTGAACCAGTCCGTCCACCACCACCATCCAGTCGATCGAAGACCCCAACCCCCATCAAGTCAATCGAAGACCTCTGAAGACCTCTTTCAGTTGATTGTGAGCTCCATCAATTGATCTCCATCCAGTCATCTTCCATCCAAACAACTTCAAAGGTGAGCCCTTCTCTCTCACACGCTCTCTCGCTCTCTCCTTCCATCCATCAAACGACTTCGAAGCCCCTCTCTCTGTTTTTATTTTTTTGTAATTATATGCTTATATATATGTACATATATCTCGAAAACTGTATTTTTTAAAAAATATAAATATAATTTTATATATATATACATATATAATGTTAATGTTGATATTAATTTATAATGGTTCTCATTTTTTTTAAAATCATTCTAATGTTAATGTTAATTTATAATGGTTATAATTTATAAGAAAAATGACTAGTTCAAATTCTGCCAATAACACACCATTTGCCTTTGATGCTGAAGATGATAAGCCACTGTGGAAATATTTGACTCGATTAAAAAAATCTGGTGCAAGAGGGGGAAACTATACTTTTCAATGTAACTTTTGTCAGGCTACACATAAAGGTTCATACACTAGGGTAAAAGCCCATTTGATGCAAATTAAAAATCAAGGGATAGAAGTGCGTCCAAAAGTAACAAGTAAGGATAAAGTTGAATTTGAGAGAGTAATTATAGAAACAGAATTGAAATTGAAAACTCTTGGTTGAAGAAAGTCCCATTGCCTCCTCCTAGTTCAAGTGCATCATTAGGTTTATGTTTCAATGAACCAGAGGAGATCTATGGATCAAAAAGGAAGAGGTCAACTGCTATAGGGAGTAGAAGTAGTAACCCTATTATGAAAGGGTTTAACATTGAAGCTCGAGAACGATTAAATTGTGAGATAGCTAGAATGTTCTATTTAGCAGGCTTGCCATTTCATTTGGCCAGAAATCCTTACTATGTTAGTGCATTTACTTTTGCTGCAAATAACAACATACAAGGATATGTACCGCCTGGGTATAACATGTTGAGAACTTCATTGCTTCAAAAAGAAAGGACAAACATTGACAGGTTGTTAGACCCTATTCGAGGCACACGGAGAGAGAAGTGTGTGAGTATTGCCAGTGATGGATTGAGTGATTCCCAATGAAGGCCACTAATAAATTTTATGGTTGTTGCCAGAGGTGGGCCTATGTTTCTTAAAACGGTTGATTGTTCAGGGAAAACAAAGTACAAGTATTTCATTTCCAACTTGATGAAGGAAGTAATCATGGAGGTTAGGCCCAAAAAAATGGTTCAAGTCATTACAGATAATGCCCCAAATTGCAAGGCAGCTGGGCACCTAATTGAAAAGCAACTTCCTCACATCTTTTGGAATCCTTGTGTTGTGCACACTCTCAATCTTGCCTTGAAGAATATTTGTGCTACCAAGAATGCAGAAAATAATTCAATTGCATTTGAAGAGTGTAATTGGATTAGTGAGATTGTGGATGATGTGATGATGATCAAGAATTTTATTTGTAATCATTCCATGAGGTTGGTAATGTACAATGAGTTTGTGAGTTTGAAGCTTCTTTCAATTGCCGAGACAAGCTTTGTTTCTTCCACTGTCATGCTTAAGAGGGTCAAGTTGATAAAGCAAAGTATCCAAACAAGGGTAATCAGTGACAAATGGAGTTGTTATAGGGAAGACGATATTGGTAAGGCCAACTTTGTGAAGGATAAGTTGTCGGATGACTTTTGGTGGGATCAAGTCGACTACATACTTTCCTTTGCTGCTCCTATTTATGACATGATTAGAGTTTGTAACACCAATAGACCTTTTCTTCACTTTATATGACATGTGGGATATAATGATAGAAAAAGTGAAGATGGGGATATATAAGCATGAAAGAAAATGACTAGAAGAAGAGTCTACATTCTATAATATAATACATCAGATTCTTGAAGACCGGTGGAACAAGAACAACACACCACTTCATTGCTTGGCACACTCATTGAATCCAAGATGATTACAACACAATTTACTATTTTTATTAATTTAAGCTTTATAATATTCTTCTAGTACATTTTTTTCATTTTAGGTATTATAGTGATATGTGGCTTCACGAGGATCCAAGCCGAGTTCCCCCACATAGGGATGAGGAGGTCTGCCTTGAGAGGAAAAAGTGCTTGAAAAGGTTCTTTGATGATCCAATGGAACACGCTAGAGCAAATTTGGAGTATACCAAGTTCTCAACCAAAGAGGGGCCATTTGCTGACATTGATTCCATTAGAGGTAGATGTGATATGGATCCTCACAGTTGGTGGGTTGTTCATGGTGCATCTGCACCCACTCTTCAATCTTTGGCTTCAAGGCTACTTGTGCAACCTCCTTCTTCGTCATGTGCTGAGAGGAATTGGAGTATAAACTCTTTTATCCATTCAATGAGAAGAAACAAGATGACAACCCAACGTGCAAAGGACTTGGTTTTTTTTCTTAGCAACCTCCATCTTTTATCAAGGAGAACCCCACAATACCTTGAAGGAGAGACCAAGTCACGGAATATTGCAGGCGACACATTTGATTCATTTGATGATATTGGGATGCTTGAGGTTACAAATCTCTCACTTGATGAACCTGTGATGGAGGTTGTGTCGTTTACAAATGATGGAGGTGCAAACGAAGAAAAAGATGGTGATGCTAATGATGATGAAGACGTGCAAGAAATTGGATCTACTTGAAACTTGAATTAGTGTTACTATGTTACTGTTTGTTAATTTTGATATAGGATGAATGTAATATGAATCTACATAACACATAAAAATATAAAAATAAATAAATAAATAGATCGTCGTGTCCCCCGCTGTGTCTGTGTCCCCATTTTTTGGAAATTGCTGTGTCCCGTGTCCGTGTCCGTGCTTGTGCTTCATAGATACTATTGTTTCAACAAAAATCATACAAAATTTACACTTTTATTTTTTATTTTTTGGATAAATAAAGAGTAAATTTATTAGAAAAGAGCATCAAGACAATGCATTGCAAACAAATACAACCAGCAAAACCAACACCTAAATCTAAACGCACAAAGAATCAATGAAATCCACAAAGGAAAACAAATCCGGATTCACACTACCCAGAACCCAACTATGCAAAATCATCAGATATTTATTCTGCAAACAAGACATTGAAGCCTCTACCCTCCGAAAAATTCGCCAATTATGCTTCAACTAAACCATCCACATCAAACACAGTGGCGCAAGATCCCAAGCCTTTCAATGCCTCTTCCCCACCCGACCCCTCGACCCAACTACACAGAATGGCCACCACACATCCTAGCTGCACCCAATCCAACCCAAACACCGCGAAAATCAATCCCCAAAGATGAGACACCACAAGACAATGCAACAGAAAACGAGAAAGAACTTCAGCATCCTGACAACACAAACAGCACCAGTTGACCAAAAGCTATTAGGGTCGAATTACATTATCCAATGTTAAGATCCAATTTCGTGCTGCTGTCCACACAAAAAATGTCACGTTGGATAGCACACCAATAGCCCAAACACTCCACCATGGAAAAGAAAGATCCATAAGACCCACCTGAGCACAATACTAGCATAACACAAAGAACACGAATTTCACACCCTTACAACACCACACCAAACCATCCTCCCCTACTACCTTTTGAAAACCATACAACAAATCCACTAATTGCACAATCTCCCAATCAAAGACCTTTCTTCGAAGCCTCACATTCCAAACCACCCGGCCATCATCCAACAATAGATAAGAAGCCACCATAGCATCCCGATCCATCGTAATCCAAAACATCAACGAAAAATGAGCTGTCAGGGTTTGGTCCCCACACCATCTATCTTTCCAAAACCGCACTCAATCCCCCTCTCCCCACCCAAAAGCTTTCCCAACTCCAAGACTCCCGCTTTCCTAACAAAATGCCCTTCCACAAACCTCTACAATAAGAAGTCCTCACTTTCCCAAAACACCAACTTCCCCAAAACACCAACTTCCCCACCCAACCCCATACTTCTCAACCACAACTTGACACCAAAGCTGCTCTACTTCCCTCGCAAACCACCACAACCATTTGCCTAATAAAACCCTATTAAAGATCACCAGCCTCCTAAATCCCAACCCACCTCCCTCTTTAGGGCGCATCTTCCAGTCCACCAAATGAAATTTAAATTCGTCCCCCAAACCACCCCAAAGGAAAACTACTCCAAACAACGAGCAACCAATACTAGAATAATATGCACTGACATGAAATAAGTTAGAATACTCCCCAAATTGCTCTTTATCAAAGTCAATCTCCCATCTTTAGACAAAAATTGACACTTTTCACTTGGCTAACCTTCGTTGCACCCTTTCCACCGCTCCATCCCACACAGATGTTGCCTTGAAAGTAGACCCCAATGGCAAGCCTAGATAAGATACAGGCAAAATAGACACCTTGCACCCAAGAATAGATGCCAATCTAGCAACACCGCCCACCTTTCCCACTAGAATCAATTCCGCCTTTGCCAAATTCACTCGCAAGCCCAAAACTGCCTCAAATCACAAAAGGACACTACGAAGATTCCCTAATTGGTCCGTCGTAGTAGCACCACAAAAAAATCAAAGCATCATCTGCATACAAGAGGTGGGACACAACCAATGGCTCCCCCGCCACCATCCCTACAGCAAGCCTCCCTTCACCACCTGATACAATAATCTGCTCAACGCCTCTATGACAAGAATGAAAAGCAAAGGAGATGAAGGATCACCTTGGTACAAACCATGACAAGTCCCACAAAATAACTCACCGGAGCCCCATTCACCTGAAAATAGAAAACCGTATCAACCTAATCCACTGTCCACCACAATGTTTTTAAAGGCTCAAGGCGCACTTAGGCACCAAAGGTCTCTTGGGGTTGGGGCTGAGGCGCAAGGCGAGGCGAGTGCTTCATCGAAGCGAGGCATACATTTTCAATAAAAAATACATAAATTAACAAATGCTAATAATTTAGACATCAACATAAGCAAAATAAAGAATTCACAACTTATAACCACTAAGACAAGGAATTTAAAAATAAAAAATAAAGGACAATCCATTTTTATAGCACTTTACTCCCTGTCTTTTAAAAATAGCCACAAACCTCCCATGTGGTTTTGGACTAAAATGCCACAGTTACAATTTCCATCCAAACTAACTGAGAGTGTCTCACATGTCTATTTTGAGAGTGGGAAAGGGAAGAGAAAAAGGAAACAGTCAAAGTTAAATTTCAATGTAAAAAGACAAACTAGCCTTGTTTACATTTTTATCTAAATTTCTTATTTAATAACATTTTAAATTAAAGATACCTATTATATATAACAAATTAAATTAACCTAAATACCTTAATTTATTATTATAAAATTAATCGTCAAACTACTTTAATCTAATTTTTAATTTTTAACTCATTTTTTATTTAAGAATACTTTAAAATAAACATAAACGTACAAATATTCATATATATAACAAATTAAATCATAAATTAAACCAAACACCCTAATTTAATACCATAAAATTATTCTTATTTCATAACATTTTAAATTCAACATAGACATATATATAACAAATTAAACCATAAAAGTACCTTAATCTAATTTTAAATTTTTAACCCAATTTATTATTTAATAACATTTTAAATTAAACATGTACATATATATTTAACAAATTAAATCATAAATTAATTACAGTGTCTATATATATATAAGGTATATGTACATGTATATCATAATATCTAATTAAAATTAAATATTAAGTTTGTTAAAAAAAAATTATTTGAGTCTAAGGGTGGTTACGCAATTTGCATCTATCTAAAGTTGTGTGTAAGGGGAGAACCCGAAGTTCAAAACTCTCTCTCTCTCTCTCTCTCTCTCTCTCTCTCTCTCTCTCTCATTTTTCTTCTTCTTCGTCTTCTTCTTCTAGACATTCAACATGGAATCAAAGCTATACCTTCCTCCTTGAAGTTTTCTAGTTCTTGTTCTTCGTTTTTTTCTTCCTAGTTTTCTGTAACAGTTAAAAAAAAAAAAAACAAACAAACAAACAAAAAAAAGGTTAATTTTTTTTTTTACCAGCATGATCGACTAGGGCCAAAAATCAGCCTAAGATTTTATTTTAATTTTGTTCTCATTCTTTGATTGTTTTTCCATTTTTCCTTATTTTTTTGGAAAAGTGGGTGATTTTTTTGGAAATCATTCATTGAGAGGCTTCAAGCTGTTTTTTCCTCTTCTCCCCCCCTCTTCCTTGGGGGCTGACTGGCTCATTCAAGAGCAAAGGAGTCCTTGTTTTGCAATTTTTCTGGGGCTGCTCTCAGTTTATGACAGATTCAGATCTCTCTAGTTCAGTTTCTGCCCTGTTTTCTTTGGCTCTACTCTCAGTCTTCACCTTGCGATGAAAGGGTCCAACCAAGAACAAGAGAGAGAGAATTTAGAGAGATCTCAATCAATCAATGTTTATCATTCCCCAAAAATTCATTACAAAGTGGTTATGCCTCTTCTAGCTATTGGCTATGTTGTGATAGTGTAGCTCTATAGACATTTCCACCAGCTAGTGCATGATAGTATACACAAGATTATGAGGATGAAGGTAAAGCACCAAAGATCTCAGGAAGCCTAGGAGAAAATCCTTTAGGCAGATCTAATGAATAATAAGCCAAGACTACAAAGCAGTAAGATCTAATATCAAATTTGGGAGAAGGAAAGCTAACATGACAGTAGCATGAAAATCAGGAATTCCAAACTAAGACATCAAGATAGTACTCAGAACGGTAACAAACAGAAAGTAACAGAGAAGCTCATAAGTATCTTTTCAATAGATTCTGACCCATAATCCAATTTGCAACTATACTTTGTATTGCATCAGATGATCAAAAAAGGAATCAGACGATTCTATTCTACCACAAATTGAATTGAGATTTAAAATATTACTTTGCTAATGAAGAGATGACCAAGTCAACAATTTAACAACTGCATATCTCACATATGGCATTTATAAATCATGAGTATGAAAATAGGCATATAATGGAAAATGCCCAAAATTACAGATAAAGCATGCATCAAGCAATTACTTGATCCATGCTACTAAAGCAGTTCTTCTTTATGAAAACCATCACCACATCTAGATATAAGACACTTGATAGACCCTACCTTGTCCTCCAAATTTCTTTCAATGAACAACACCAATGGCTTCATCTTCTCCAAGTATTGCACGTTGTCATGCCTGAAACATGATAAGCATGTTCACTAGTTAGCCGCAACCTAAAGTTGAAACACATATTGATTGAAGTTAAAGATTATTCAAAAGTTGTCATCAACAATTAAAAATAAATTAATTAATTAAATAAGAGATACATCTATACAATGTCTATTAGCGTTCTTCAAATATGACCATGTACGCATGAAGTTGTCCATGCTAATTGGGAAAATAAGGATCATACCTCAGATAAAGCTGTAAATTGTATTCACCCTTGGGAAGTTTAGTAGAATTAGGGTAGACATCCCCCATTGTATATACACGCTGCAATTTGTAAAGAAAATACATGAAGAAAAACTGAGAGAGAAATCCACTCAAACAGGAGTAAGTAATCTACTACTTGATTAGCTAAAGCATGATTTCAAAATAAAACAGCACAATGTCCAGCACATACGTGCAAGCCGAAGGTGCATGGAGGTAGATAGAACAAAATAGAAAATAAAAACTTTTATGTTAACAAATGATGTTTCTTAAAAAGGTTATGTAACGATCCATAATTTTCAATTCGTTTTAATTATGATTTTGTCATTACTCTTGTAATTTACTTTTTTGGAGTCGTGTTTTGGCATTTGTAGGTTGACCGTGTCAACAATTGAACCATCTACTTCGAACTTTAGGACTCTATTAGGACTTGGGCGTTGAGTTTTGACATTGGTCAAGCGTTTGCTTCAGTTTTGTTGGATTTTGACCTTGGGAACCACTCGAGTGAAAAAGGGCTCGAGCTACCTTTTCATACACATGAAATATTGACAGTTTTAATTAATCGCTCCAACAAGGGAGTTTTTGCGCGAGCAGTCATGTAGGGGAAAGAGCAGCTTTCTATGCATTTTGACCACAAAAAGTGACTTTTTTGACCACCCGGTATATAAAGGATGAACTAGATCTGTATCTCATTTCACCCACACTCTCTAAAAACTCACCCAAAGCACACACTCCATTTTCTCTCCCTAAGATTTGAGCTACCAAGATTGAGTTTCAATCTTCAAGTGAAGGACAAACATTTGTAGATCGCTTCGACAACTTCACATCCACCCGAATGGTTTTGCATTTTGGCACACTTACAAATTTTGGATTTCTCACCTCTTTAATTTTGGTAGGGGATTTCAACTCTCTTCTATGTACATCTATGTTGCATGTGTTATTTTGTGAAAAACTATGTACATCTTGTTCTAGTATGGTAAGAAGCTATGTCACATAAACTCTTCGAAATAAATTAAATACCCATGCCGGACACCTGACGCTTGGACAAGGATATGGGACGTGTGTCAGATACTTTTCATCGAACACTTCTTATATATTTCTATTTAACACTATTATTACAAGTACATATTGTTGTAAAATTGTTATAAATGTATTTTTGACACTGAATGTTACATATAACAACATTTTATCTCACATAACATATTAACAATATAAAAAAATGACATTTTTTTGCCGAGCCCGCATACCCTTAAATGTAAGGTTTGATTGCACCTGGCACCCATACCTATACCCGAGTCCATATAACATAGGTAAGAAGTAGAAATGATATGAGCATGTTAGAAATATACTTTTTGCATTTATATAGTGTGGCTAAGTCTCATAATCTTTCCATTTCTTCTTTGGTATGCACTAGTTTTGTACCGATTTCTAGGAATTTTAATTTCTTTAGAAATCTTAATGATAGCGAGACTAATGAGTTAGCTTCGTTGTGTTTTGAATTGATCATCTCTCTTTGGATCCAAATGTGTGTGATAAGCAGGTATGGTCATTAATTCTTCCAATTTCGTTTCTGGTAGATCTTTTTCGACAAGATCATTGACAAACCGAGTGTTTCCATTCCACACAAGAATTTAAAAATCTTTCGTGCCTCTCAAGGTGTAGTTTTTTATGTGGTTGCTGGTGTAAAGGATAACAACTACCCACCTTAGAGTGATAACACTTATCACCTTAGAGTCATTGTTCTTGTGCTCTACATATGTTTGATTATCACAATTTGTAACTACACATGTCAATTTGTAACCATACATATTATGTATAAATACATGGACTCTCCACCATGTGTTGTGTGAGAGAATTTATTCTTGGGATTACTTCTATATGGTATCAAAGTTTCGTGTGCACATTTGAGATTTTTTTTTACTGATCATTTTTTTTCCCCCCCGCAACATGACCGAATTCATTGCCACAGTTGCTGCAAGCACCCCCCCAAAACCATGGCTGAATCCAGTCAACCATCTTTACTTACTATTAATGCTGCTCCTCATCTTCCGCACAAGTACACAGCAAAATTAACCATTGTGGCATGTCCAACTAATCTCATTCTTACGTGGTTGTGGTCTCGAAGGCTATATTATGGCAGCTATCCTCGTCCTCCAGAGGGGTCTAATCATTTAACTTGGTCTCGACAAGATCAACTTATTCCGAGTTAGATTTTTTTATCCCTTTCAGAAACCATTCTTTCTGCTGTCGCATGGTCTAGCACATCCAAGGAAGCATGGGACACTTTGGCTCGTGTTCTTGTCTATTCTTCTCGTTCTAGCATGCTTCACCTTAAGGACCGTTTGTCTAATCTGAATCATGGCACTGATTCCAATTCCACCTACTTACAGGCTATTAAAGCAATTGCTGATGACCTTGCCACTATTAATCGACCATTAGTCGATGAAGACCTTGTTCTTGCAGTTCTCAAAGGCTTAGGCCCTGACTAAAAGGATTTTTGCAACTCCATTCAGACACGTGAAGATCCTATCTCATTTGATGATCTTCATGGTCTCTTACTCAAGAGCTTCGTCTTGCTGATAGTGCTAGTTCCAATATGCTCCCCCCCACGGCCAATAATGCAACTTGCGAACCATCTACTAGGTTTTGCTCCGACCACAATGATCGTGGCAATCGTCATCGTCATGGTCATGGTCATGGTCATGGTTGCAACAACTATAATGGCCATCGCAATCCCAACCCTAAAGGTGGTCATCAATCCTCTCATTTTCTATGTCAACAATGTAGCCAATCAGGCCACTCCGCCAAAGTTTGTCCTCAACAATTTAATCATGCCTTCACAGGTGAACACCCCTCCTATATTGCTGCTAATCCGCATGCGAATTCATGGACCGTTGATTCTCGTTGTATCAATCACCTCACTGCAGACTTAAACAATCTTCATCTCCAACGGGTTCACTCGGAAAACAAAACAATCTTCATCTCCATTCGGAATATTCTGGCCTAGATCAGATTGTGTTAGGTGACGGTTCAAGTTTGACCATTTCTGGTGTTTGGTCCTCTACTTTAAATTCCTCGTCTTCCATTGTTTTATCTGATATTTTACATGTTCCTAACATCAATCACAACCTGCTTTCTGTTCATCAATTTTGTCTTTATAATAATGTCTTCTTTGAATTTCATTCTTCTTTTTTTGTTGTTAAGTATTGTCGCACGATGGTGGAGCTTCATAGTCATAACCAAGTAACTTCATGATCCATTTTTGTTGACATAGGTTTGCTACCCTTTGCTCCAGCAGGTATTTCAGCCTTTGGTGATCAGTTCTGACTATAAAATGCCTCCATCAGAGGTAAGGCCTCCATTTCAGGACTGCCAAGACTACTGCCATCAACTTTCTCATACGTAGATGTAGATAATGCTTGATTTCTTTCAGATAAGCCTTTACTCCAAAAAGGAATAGGGTGTCCCTCTTGCATGAGCACTGCTCCCAATCCCTTTCCAGATGCATCTGCTTCAACCACAAATTCTTTGGTATAGTTTGACAGGTATAGTTTGACAAAGCCACAACTGGGATGGTGGTCATTGTGGTTTTGAGCTGTGAAAAGGCTGATGATGTTTCCTCAGTCCATTGGAAAGAATCCTTTCTCAACAACTGGTTTAATGGAGCAGCCATGTTACCATAATCTTGAACAAACCGTCTGTGGTATCCTATAAGTCCTAGGAAGCCTCTAAATTCCTTGATTGTTTTGGGAACTGGCCAATTGGTCATGGCAGAAATCTTGGTAGATTCTGCTGAAACACCTGTATCTGTAACCAAGTGACCCAAGTATTTCACTTCTTGTTTGCCAAATACACACTTGAACCTTTTAGCAAATAGTTGATGAGCTCTTACAAGCTGTAACGTCACTTGCAAATGTTGCAAATGTTCTGTCCATGAACTGCTATAAACAAGTATGTAATCAAAAAATACCAGTATAAACCTTCTTAGATGAGGTCTAAAAACTTCAGTCATGAGACTCTAGAAGGTAAAAGGGCCATTGGTCGGTCCAAAGGGCATCACCAAGAATTCATAGTGCCCATAATGAGTTCTAAATGTTGTTTTGGAATATCTGGGGAATGAAATCTAATTTGGTGTAGATCCAATTTAGAGAAATATTTGGCCCCCCACAATTCATCCAAAAGTCCATCTATTGCTGAAATTGGGAATTCATCCTTTACAGTAGCTTTGTTCAATGCCTATAATCCACACACATTCTCCAACTTCCATCCTTTTTCTTGACCAACAACACAGGATATGAATAAGGACTCACACTGGCTTTGATAACCCCTGATTGAAGCATTTCTTTAACTTGCTTTTCTATCTAAGATTTCTGGAAATAAGTGTTACTGTAAGGTCTTGTATTGGTTGGTTCAGTTTCAGGTTTGAGTGGTATATGATGGTCATGAGATCTCACTGGAGGTAGGCCTTTAGGATCTTGGAATACATCACTATACCGGCCCAAGATTTCCTCCAATATTGGGTTAATTGTTGCACCATGGCTGTCCACTTGCAAAGAGAAAACTTGTACCACTACTCCTTGAGCCTGTTTTTGGAGAAATTGCTGCATTTTCTTAGGGCCAATGACTGTCAATTCCTCCTCCTTACCACCCCTCAATACATGTTTTCTTCCATTCAAGCAAAATTCCATGCTCAAGTTCTTGAAATCCCACTTGACTGGTCCCAACGTTGCCAACCACCGAACGCCTAAGACCAATTGAATCCCCTGCATACAGCTGTGCTCAACAATTTAGTTCCATCAGCTACTGAAACTGGAAGAGGATCTGTAACTGTAACATCTATTCCTGCCCTCTTAACCACATCTGGACTCAAAAAAATTATGGGTGCTACCTGAATTAATTGAAGTCTACAGCTCCTCTTCTGGAATCTGTACTCCTTCCTCCCCCTCCTCTTCTTGTTCTTGTTCTTGTTCTTGGTATTCTATTTCTCCTTCCGTAGCATACAGTTGCTTTCTCTTGCAGAGATGGCCTCTTGTATACCTTTCATTACGTTTGAAACACAAGCC